AATATATGACCAGAGAGATTGAAAAATAATATTACGATAAAGTAAAATGTCAACTGTTTAGAATGGCCTCTACAGGAAAGGCTCATTAGGAAGAAAAAGTATGACTTAGAGCCTTGATGAAGACATGGAAGCACACATTAAGCGAGCAAAGCACTCAACATGTTTTGCGTTTCGCTCGGGACATAAGCGCGTTTTCGACAACACTGATTATCATCTGAAATTTTTATTCAATTAGTTTTCCTTCGATTAGGACCGAAAAAGATCAATAATGACAATCGACAAAGTTAACATCTACACAATTATTCATTAGAAAACAACCCCCAAGCATGATGCCATCTACCAATAGCAAATAGGAACAAATTTTTTTATTCATTGACACACAGCAGAAGTCTAACTTCAATATAGGTTGCACATATTACTCAAGTCTGTTGTAGAGAAACAGACGCCATTACAAGTTCAGTTAACCATTTTGAGGAAGTTAAGAATTTTTTTGGTTGAGATAATAGGGAAGTGGCAAATTTTTCATCAAAATTACTAAGATTTTTTGGTAACCAAAAAAACTTAGTAATTTTGATGAAAAATTCGCCACTTCCCTATTATCTCATTGAAATACATGAATGGCTCAAATACTTAAACTAATGTGATCTTAGCAAAAACATCTATACATTGAAGAAAGCAAGAGCAAGAGAAAAACCTGCTCTAAATTTATTCTGTACAGATCTGGTGATGAGGCAGCACAAAGCAAATCACAAGACCAGCTATCATATATAATATCCCTTCCCATCCTATATAAACAGGAGAGCATATGAGTGATCTTAAGCTGGCATTTACAGATGATATAGTTCATACAGAAAATAAGCAACAGCGAATTTCAGAAACAGAAAGGAAAGGGCTGTGAACTGCCTACGGCCGATATATCACCAGCGGAAGTAAACATTTTTACTGTTTTCATTAGCAAGAAGATCTCTAGTGATAATAACCCTGGGAATAAACTTTCTTCCAGAACCTAGCAGTATAAACGAGGAGTTTCAGGATAACTAAATTTCTCTGAAAGAGACGCAATTTATAAGGGGCTTTAAATCACTGAAAACCCTTCTTTCTTGGGAGAATCATTAAAAATACATTAATAGATTATCTGATTCAGTCCCGTGGAATCTAAGATTTCAAGTGGGCCAGGTTTAGCTGTTGAATAGCATATCTAGAACACTAGAGGGTTCTGCAAGCTTGATAGCAGTGACACATTGAATCCTTAACTCAACCTGTTTCAATTGTGTAAGATAAGTGCTAGAGGAAACAAACAGTCCTCACAGCTCAATGTTTTGTTGATACACTTGATAGTTAACATACATTGTTTTCTAAATCTTGCATTTCATCAGTATAGTAAGTCGCAGGCAGCATATGGATCATGACATAAGGAGAATACAAATGTTAGTGTGACCTTGGAATCCGCAATTTATAGTGACTCCCATATTTTGCATGGAGGCAAACAGAACGATCAGCACAGAGAAATGCTATTTTTGAGTAGTCATCACCCAAGACCTACAAAAGATATCAAACATGAATTATACATCAGTATAGATTTCCCGCACTAATTAGAGAAGAAACACGCAACAGAGTGGGAAAGCAGACAATACTTGAAAGTTAACAATCTCTGACACCAAATGCCTTTCAAACTTCAACGACAGCTCCCGCAGCTCATACACTTTTACTTGTGGTGGGTAAATACCTGAAAAATTAATATTGTCGTCAACTGATACAAAATATAGAAAATACCAGGCAGCTAAAAGAATCTACTCATCTAATACATGTTCACAAGGTTTTTTTTTAGTTTGTTATAAATTTGTATGCCAGCAGAAAACATAGGGGAAAACTGGTGAAAGAACCAAAATTATTGAATAAGACGAGCCCAAATGGGGAGACATTAACAGTGATGAACTGGTGATTTATATATTTGATCCTATCTTGAGGTCAAGGCTTAGTTGTTGCTGTTGTACTCATCTAATGAATGTCTCAGATTAACAGAGGGGCAGAACAATTGCACAACAGTAATTGTATACTTCCCCTTTCAAAAAAAATATATAAGAGAACTATTTGTTCAGGTTAAACATGAATAAGTCCCAACCAACAGGGGATATAAGATTAATATCAATGCCTCAACAACCAATAAAATGAACCAATATATTTATAATCACCACCTGTTTTACATCTAAAAACAATAGTCAGTTCACATAGAAATAACTGCATTTATACAACACAGAAGGATAAATATGCATGAATATCACATCTAATTAGCAGCAGTGCACAGTGAAGCTTTCTATAACTCAGAAGTAGTTACTTCTCAACAACCCAGGAGAGATCATTCAACAAAAGCATAATATTTCAAGGAAACAAAAGTTCTCCAGTATATCAATTGATGATACAAAAGAAATAAGTATGTCTCAAACTGCAGAAAAACACCTGATGCAATTAGATACTCCCCATCAGGAGTCACTTTAATACGTGTTGTTGCAGTTTCAAATTTCAAATCTTGAATCAGATCCACTCTTTGCATATAACCTGCCAAAAGAGAGAGAAACTATCTTTCATAATATAACCATAATATCCTACAATACCAAAAATGTATAAATTGCAACATGGATCTAGGATTCATATAGCTGGCCCAAACTAGACAAGCTATCCAATTGGATTTTACCCATCCTGTCCATTCATATAGAGGAACTCCTTGGAGATGTTGAGCAACAAACAAATTGTTACACATTGTATCCGGTGTGTTGTGTGATAAGAATGTGCCACCAAGACTTCAAAGGTAAGCTTTATTAAGTGGTTGCCGGACCACGACTCTGTTATAGCTTATATGGAGCGGAAGTATTGCCAGTCAAGAACCCGCACGTCTAGAAGTTGCAAGTAGCGGAAATGAGGATTTTGAAATGGATGTGTGGGCTTACTGAGAGAGAAGATAAGGAACAAAGATATTCAAGACAACGTGGAGTGACCTCTGTGGTGGACAAGATGAGAGAGGTAAGGTTGAGATGATTCAGATTGTGAAGAGGAGATGCCCAGATACCCAGTGAGGAGGTGTAAGAGGTTTGCTATTGTTGGCATAAGGACAGGTAGAGGTGGCCGAAAAAGTACTAGGAGAGGTAATTAGATAGGACATGGCTCAACTATAGCTTACCGAGGACATGAACCTAGATAGAAGGTTATGGAGGTTGAATATTAGGGTAGAAGGTTAGTAGATAGTCAAGTGTTGTCTAATTCATGTTAGCAGTATTGTATTATTACTCCCCTACTATCTTATTCTTTTATTTTGTTATTTCTATGTTTGTTTTTCTTCATTGTTGTATTTCCTTTTTATACTTGATATTGATATGCTTTCCTTGATCGAGAGTCTATCAGAAACAACCTCTCTACCTTCACAAGGTTGGGGTAAGGTTGTATCTATAGTGTATAGTGTATTTTTTACTACAAAAATTGGAAAGTATACATTTTTTAACATATTGATTGATATAACATGATTTTACCAAATAAGAACATCAAATTAAATATACATTAGCATATCGTTCAAAAGAAAAACACCAAAAAGGTGAAGAATCAATCATCACAAAAGACCATATGATATAAAGAATACATTCATATAATTTACTGCCCAATTGAAAAACAAATTTTGGTACAATTCCAGAACTTTTGCTTCAAAGATTGAAACTTTCTTTTCCAGACATAACAATGCTGCTATAGTTCACCAAATGCTATTCGAAAAGAAAAAAAATAAGCGAAAGCAGGGGGGTAATGCATACCTGGATCTTTACGAAGAGCTCTGAGCTTCTTCGGAGGAAGCCATGTAGCCACAGAACGGTGTTGGCCAGCAACAGTATACATCTTCACTCCATTTATGGCAGTGGACTTCAAGTTTCCCCCTTGGTACGCCATTGTAATTCAATTGGCAGACAAAGTAATGCCTTTTTCTGGAAATAATGAATCCATGTCAGAACAGTAATTGGGCACCTAATAACTCAAGACGTCTAAGACAAATAATTTTTTCACAAAAATAACTTCTACTCATTGCTATCAAAACTTCCAGCTATTACAACAGTAATCAAAATACAAACATATAACAGCTTGTTAAAACAGCCAGGAAGAATATATTAGAGACAGTTGCTAAGCTGGGATTCTAAGAAAGTGAATAAATATATAAATGAGTGCTAACTCCACAATTTTCACCTAATAAATATCAATTTAGCTTCAAACAACTTCCTTATGTATTTTTAATTAAAAAAAAGTTGATAAGACACAGTTTTCAAGCTTCTACCTAATTGTTTTGAGAATGAAAAAAAGTGGTCGTTCATTGAAATATGAACTGAAAAAGTTAAGAAGAAGACTAATGTTACAGTATAAATATAGGCTACCAAAAACTTACCTGAGTTTCGCCGGACGGCGATCGGTGATGGCAGCCGGCAGCGGCACGGTGAAATTGTTTGTTAGAAGCGGCTGGTTCTAATTTGGACAGGGTTTTGGGAAAGAAAGGAAGAAGAAAGAGGGAGGGTTTAAGGAGAAAATAAATTAGTCGAAAGAATAACAAAAATATCCTTTATGTTTTGGTATGTCTAAATCAGTCCTTTAAATATACTTTCAGCAATTTTGGTACTTCTGTTTTCATTTATTAAATCAAACAAAGCAATTCGAGTCGATTAAACATTGGGAAATTAACAATTTCACTCCTTGTATTGTTATATACTTTCAGTTTTAATTCAGATATTATTTAATTATGCATACTTAACCTTTGATAACGTTAAAAATAATGTGTAAAAAAATCAAAATTATATTTTATATTATATATCTAAATTATATACAGTCATAATGATTATTTTAGATGTATAAATTGATCTCATTTACTTGCTCTCTTCTTAGTTCATCAGCAATTCGATCTTCCTCTATTTTTTAATGAATACTAATCAAGATCGAATACGATTAAACTGGAAAAAGTTCAGTAGGTAGATGGGTTATTTAGGGCCACCAAAAATTGTTAATTGTGATCATCATTGAGAAAAGATTGCTAGCTTATTTAGCCGCCGAAGAGAATATTATTTACGTATATATTACAACGTCCTGTTATAGTTCTTGTATATACAAAATCAATCCTGGACAGATGCAGAAACTCATATTGCTAGCATCAACATCATCACTAAGCCAAATACCAAGTGCAAATGTTTCTCCTGTATGAATACAAGCCTGCAAATGAAGCATAGAAGTATAGATCAGAACTTAGCATGTCATTAACAGCAAGAAGTTGTACAAAGTCTACATGACATGCCTAGAAGCATGAACAAATCCATCTACTGTAAAATAAAATGCAAAGAAGATGTAAACTACAGTTGGATAGAGTGGAATGTTATTAGGCTAGAACTTTGCACCCAAGAGTGTGACCTAATGGTTAATGAAGTGGATGAGAGCCATGATGTCTCAAGTTTCAAATCCCATCAGAAACACAAGGTGATTTCTTCTCAATAATCCATCCTATCCTTGAAGGACAAAGTTACATGTACATGTTAGTTGAGGTATGCGCAAGTTAGTACAGGAACATTTACATGTTGTCCATTTGGCCTGATCTTAGGCATTGACCCACCCTCCATAGACGAACCTTGAGAGGAACCCTTATGTTTTAGCCCGTACAACACCGTTATCAAAAACAAAACAAAAAAAGTTAAGCTGGAACTTTCAATAAATTTTTCCTCCTATAGATGCCATGCCTAGGGGTAAGGAAATGCTGAACTTAACAAACGAAAACAACACTCAGATGCTCAATCAGTGTTCCGGGAATTATCACAACTCGAAGAAAATGTCAAGGCAAGAAGTTACACCAAATTTCAACTACTTCGAACTAACTAAAGTGTGACACACTCTTAAAATTGGACGAATTATTGTTGACATACCAAAGGGCAACAGCTCTTAAATTCATTAGATTCAAGAGACAGATGTCAAGATACACAAACAGACATGGTCCAAGCTCTTCCTCTCAGAAATATAATTAATAAAGAATGCCAAAGATGTGCAGGAATCATACATTTACTACAGCATTTACGTGAGGAACTGCATGTCTGTACAATCTGGTTGTGTTGCAAGAGTTATATGAGCGGTTTCAACATATCCATGATAGTAGAAAAAGAGGGGCGTTTCCACGGCTCACTGCAATGGGAGAAGTAATTTTAATTCAATACATCAATACAATCCCAAACTAGCTTGGTAAGAATAGGAGCAACATACTTCACCCAGCAAGCTTCAATAATAGTTGTCACCGGATGATTCAAGTCACGTGGAATTTCAAGCCTCATACCCTTAAAGCCAACAGCTGCTACTACCTACAGTATCAAATATATTACACCATGTAAACATCATGTGCAATACCAATATCAAATAGACTGTTCAACAATAACAAGACTAGACAGACTGTTCCATTTTGATCTTTCAATATAAAACTTGACCCAAAAGCTAGAATATCCAGCAAAGAAACAGCAATAGAGGTGCACACGCCAAAACAAAACAATGGATGCAATATAACACTAGTGATGACACAATTAGAGCAAGAATTTTTCCGTTATTTCCATTCCATTCCTAACTTTCTGGAAAAATGAAATTGGTAGTAACCAAAGCAACTTAACAAAGAGAGTTATATGATGTTCTCCCCCTACTGCAGGTACAGTTTCAACCCAAATTTGTTTGCTTTTGCAATGCTGTGATACAATCTGTGAAGAGATCAACAGCATAATAGAACAACCTAAACCCATAACAATGGAAAGGAGAATCCCTGTGACTTCCCTATTCACTGCCACATGGATGATTAGTTCTCTACATAAACCATGTTCTTTTAATGAAGCTTCCTATATAGACCAGTAAAGAAAAGGTATTAATATAAGAGGAATAAAACGGCCTTCATGCAATTGCTGACGCCAAACTGGAGATTGCCCTTCTCCCTAATAATAGCAATCCCCAGACTAATATATTTAAACATTCTAAGAGAGAGCTTATGGTCCTTTCACTTGATATATTACCCAGACCCCTCAGAGTGTATTATTAGGTAACCTTTTATACCTTTCCCATAACTAGAAACACTTCAAAATTACAAAATACTAACCTGTGGTGGGTTCAAATTACTCCAAGGTTGTTGCAACGTTGCCAGCTCCCACAAGATGACACCAAAGCTGTATATATCAGATTTCTCATTTGACGGCTCATCACGGAGAACTTCAGGTGCCATCCATTCTGGCTATTATGATAAATACCAAATCATATTTATTCCTGTTCTTTTAGTAATCACCAATGCCAAATATTGACAAAAGATAGAGCACCAGATGTAGAACTTACAGTCCCGGCAGCTGACTTTGATGACAAAAATGTATTAGCTTTTAATCGAGAAAGACCAAAATCACAGACCTGAAAAAAACATTCAACAGAAGTGGCACATGTCATACCATTTGTAGACAGAATAATTTCAATACACACAAAAATATGTAATAGTAACATGAAGTGCTACTGTTAGAAGTAAGCCATTGTCAATTTTGAGCAAGATAACCAAGTTTTGTGAGTGTTTCAGTCAGTCAAATCTAAAGTTGGCCATGCTCCATTCTTGTCATCATGAAACACCAAGAAAACTAGACATGAGGGAAGCACAAGAGATAATCATATTACATCTATGTATAAAGTTAACCCCAAGGGTGAGTGGTCAATGAAGTGGGTTAAGAACCACAGGGTCTCAAGTTCAAATCCCAGCGGAGACATATTAGGTGATCGCTTTCCATTTGTCCTAGCCTTGGGTGGACAGAGTTACCTAGAGGTATCCGTGACATTAATCAATGTGTGCACAAGCTGAAGATGATGCATGTCAAAATGTATCTTTTCTTTCTGTTGTTTATATTGTTTGAAACCAGTAAAATATTTTTATGAATAAGCTGTAAAGAATTTTAAAGACCACATGCATGGCATGCATTGAAGACATGCAGATGATGCATATCAAAGTGTATCTCTTTTCTTTCTGTTGTTTGAATTGTTTGAAACCAGACAAACATGTTCTCAGTCAGACCTGGCAAGACAAATTAGATGATCAAGAATTCAGATATTTCACATTTCATCCAACTTAACAAGAAGGAAGAGGATGCGAAGACATACTTCTGAAGATAGAGTACAGAGGTATCATATAAATCTTTTTAGAATAGGACAGGAACTGATTGAATAAGACGATTAGGGGGGGGGGGGGGGACAAAGACATTTTATAATTATACATACGCCTATTCCAACCAGCAATCCAGACATAAATGTCTATACATAAGAAGAAACGCTATGAACCCAAACATACAGCAAGGCATAATGATTTTCCATTTAGAAGGAATCTCCAAGATTATGCTCTGTTGAAATTTAAAAGATTTGGTCAATTAGAATTTATTGTGTGTTGGGTATGAAGGCAAATGTTTTTGAAAATAAGTAGTTTTCTTACTTATTTTATGATATTTGATAAGTAAGCAGAAAATATGATTCCAAGGCAAACAATATGGCAGTGGGGTGGCAGGGTGTGAGGTGATAGGAGACAGTCAGCATATGGGGCCACATACGGAACTTGTATTTTCCTTACTCCCACTAGGGAAGTCATTTTTCTGCTGTATAAGGAACTTGTTTTTTCTAGAGAAAATGTTTTTTCCAAAATATTTTAACAAGGATAGTTGGAACAACAAAACGTTTCCCTAGTGTTCTACATGGATTGCAAATTTTAACTCTCCATCATCTGAGAAGTCTGATGTAAGCTATCATGCTACAGAACTTGCTTTATAATCTTCAATATTTTGGAACTACCAAGTCCAGTCTTTACTTAGTTAAAAGATTCTGAAGCTGCAATGTCCATTCCCTACCTGTTGAGCCATGAAATGGAAGTTTCATATGCCACCTTAAATAAACAGAGATTGGCAAGGAAGACACGTCTCAAACTAGAAAAAAATGTCCCATAAAGGACCCCACAGATTAGAGAACTACTTGGACAGCCCCAGTTTGAGAAGATCAACAGGAGCATGACACTTTTGTGCAGGCTAAAGAAGTTCTCAGTCTCACCTTCACTGTATATTTTGTATCCACTAAAAGATTTGGAGATTTTAAATCTCTGTGAACAACAGGTGGTTTGCGTTTATGAAGATAATTCATCCCCTTTGCCTGCACAAGTTGATAAAAGGCATTAGATACATTAAAAAATAAAATTTGTCAGAGAAAGGGGAGCAGGGAATACGTATTCATACCACATCGTAAGCCATACACAACCGACGTTTTTCATCCAATACCTCTCTCGCACCAGGTTTATGAAGAAGCCTATATAGGCTACCTCTGAAACACAGATGGCATTTGACCAGTCAGGAAAAAAAAAAGCATAACACTTTGCATGATCATCTAAAGGAAGATCAGGTCACGACCTTGATAAATATTCTGTAACTATCGACAAGTTTGGTGGCTCAGTAACAGCACCCATGAAAAGCACTATATTTGGATGTCGCAACCGCTTCATAATTGCAACCTGCACCAATCAGATGGAAACTAATTCAGAAGAATGGGAGGAGGAAAAACAAATGAGTTGAGATCCACTGATCCTCATTTTATACACCCATCTCTCCTTTTCTCTTTTATGTTCTTTCAGTTCATTAGTGAGGAGAGGAGCCCCAGACCGACCTCTTGCAAAAATTCCTTGTATCGCTCAGCATGAAAATCCTGTTCCATGAGAATTTTCACAGCAACATCCTAGAAAATACAAACTCCATGAGAATGTAATTAGGAAGGAAACCAGTGCAATAGGATCTTTGATAAAAGTCACATCTCTAATTTGACAAAATGAACGATACCCCACCCACCCCGTAAAGCAATATAATTCTTAAGGAGGCTTCATAGCTACCATGTTTAGATATAAAAAAACAAATGCTGAAATCTACTCCTACAAGTTTAGATGCATTTCAAAAGGGCACAATAAATAGTTTTATGATGATTGATGGTACTTAAAAATGTATCAAGTAGTTGAATCAGCATCCCAACAATCTCTTAACATACATCAGGATTTAGCTGAAAAAACACAACAGAAGCAAAGGATTCGTACACGTGATTACCAATTAGTTGAGATTAGGGGCTCGAATTTTGCACTTTCATTAGTAGTCTTTTAGGTTTGGTTAGAAATTTGAATGACAGTGTTCTCCAATTTAATTAGAAATCTGAATGACAACATAGGGATGAAACTGAGATTTAAAGAAACCCTAGTTTACCTTAAAAGCAAACATAATGAAACTGGTTCAAATGGACATAAAGGATACATAGAGACGAATTGAGGCATAGTTGATTGAAAATAATTAGAGAGAGATACATGTGGAATACGCTTCAAACACTCGGAACTAAAGGGGAATTGTCTTACAGAGCCATTCCAGTCAGCACGGTGAACAGTCCCAAAAGACCCTGCAAATACAACAAAACAGTGTAAGCTAGATGAGTTTTGGATGTCATGATATCATTGTATCTTAATATTATTGACATACAGCAAATAAACACAGAGCTAACACTTTGAAAGTAGCTAAAACCAGCAGACTGGGATTACCTGCCCCAATTCTTTCCTTCAGAACCAGATCATTCCAGGGAATATCCAGATCTTCTACATCAAGAACAAGTCCTCGGCTTGGTTTAGCAGGAGCAAGTCTCCCTACTCCCTCAAAGTACCTCTGGTCATTAATGGTATCTGTCCTTGCCTCAGATATTGCAATCAGGTGAGCATCTACATACCTAATTGGAGGGACATTCTTCAAATGAATCAAATCCTTTTCCTGGCTCATTGAGATCGACATATTTGGAGGATGATATTTTGCAGGAAGTTGAGAGCCTTTATCACATCCCTTGTTCCATGCATTTATTGAAGGCAAAGGTAGCCGTGAAACTTCATCACGATTGCTTGAACTAGGAACTGCACTGCTTTTATCCATGGAACTTCTGTCCGTTTGTCCAGCATCCCCATCAACTGCAGTTCCTGCACCAAACAAAGAATAATGAAACCCAAAAAAAAAACTAATTGATGTAAATGTCACCAATAAAACAGAAGGGATCAGTTTGCCTACGAGAGTGGCAATTTATTTGCAAACAAGATAAGGTTGAATATATTTTCCTTGGTCTGGAGACACTAGGCTCAAATATAGACTAGCTAAAAGATGAACACTTAAATAATACTAGTTCCTTGTAGCTTCATCGCGGAGAGTTACTGTTATTCAACTTGTTTTAACACATTAGAAGCTCCTCTAGAAAGAAAGGAAATACTATTATTTTATTTTTTTTGAGCAAGGTAAAGTTATATTCCTCCGCAATGTAGGTATGCTGTCAACCATCAAAAAAATTACAGTGCAAGTAATCATAATTACAACGAGCCTAAGAAGTCTACTAGCTGTTCTACCTCATCTATACCCTCTTCTTTACACCAAAGATATAAAGTATCAATGCAGTTTTCTTTTACTTTCTGCATTGGATTAGTAATATTCTCAAAACATCTATTGTTTCTTTCCTTCCAGACTGACCACCATATGCAAGAAGGGACTAGGCTCCACTATTATTTAAAAGAAACCTAATATGTATAACATTCAGAAGTAGTATTTTTAAAAATTGTACTGAAATTTGTGTCGACATTTTATCTACGATCTCCTTTGCTCATTCCTAACATATTAATTTCATCCAAGAAGTCAGTAACAAATATCAGGCTTTTTGATCATTAATGAAACAGAGCAAAATTCGAATAAAAATAGACGCCAAGATGATGACAAACCCTCAAAGCTGAGCAGTACAGGTTTAGACTTTATGGTTAATACTATATTAAAAGAAACTCATTCATGATTAGATACTAATCTGTTGGAGTAACAGAGTCATCAAAGCCAATACGATTATGATAGCATCAAGGTCTACTTGGACTTCAACTACAAAGTGCAATAAAAGCATGGGTGTTTGGGCGGAAAACAAAAAAAAATGAAGAGAAGTAAAAAGTACAAATTTAATAATAAAAAATATATATAAACATAAACTATAATTATCTAGCCAAAGAGAAGATAAATAGATAATTAAGTGAATCAGCATAACATATGAGATTTTCATGTTACGGAAACTACTTTAAATTTATATTTTACAAGTAAAGATGCAGTTTAAGATTTCCACTGCTGGTTTTATAATACAAAATTTCTAATTTCTTATTCCAACTGTCTAATTCTTCCATGAAATTTGGTTAACAACTATACCAATTTGGTCAACTATATTTTACTGCCAACTGATACCTCTGAAAGATTAGCCCCCCAGTGATGAGGTGTATGCCTTGGTGCATGCACTTAAGTGCTACCAAAGTTATGTGAAGTGTCTACCCTGGGCTTCACCAAGTTTCAGGGTTTAAGCAATGTGTAGTACTGGAAAATGAAGAGAGAAGCAGCAAAAAATCTTAATTTTCACTGGAATTGTGTATTGGAGGGATTGGAAACCAATGAATTCTCTGGAGAGACTCAGCTTCGTTATTGTCAAAGAATGCTAAAATGTCTTAAGGAGGAGCAACAGTATGAAGGCTGTAAGAGAGAAAGAAGCCTAAGTGCCTGCTTAGCACAAATCCGCTCCATCCAAAAAGATAACATGTGATCCAAGAAAAAAGAAAGGAGTAGTATGATGTCACTATGAGCACCATTCAGTTCAATCCCTTGTTGTGGACCTCAGAAATTTTGATGAACACAGGGGAACTGACTTGAACTTTAAGGAACATTCGTTGACTATAACAAGGCTGAAACCTTTCCAGAGACCTCAGTAATTTTGATAAATACAGGGAAACTGACTTGAACTTTGAGGAACAGGAGTTCTGCGAAATGGCCATTGTAGGCTCCAAAAGGAACAAAGGAAGGTTAAAAGATTACTCTCTAGAACAATGTAAGCAAGTCATCGTCTTTATTCCTGTTTAATGCTCTTCAGTAAGAAAGCAGGCGACAACTATTGAACTCTGGATTGCAGGTGAAAATGGGTAAAATTATTTGTTGGGTATTTATTATTGGAATAAGACTACGAAGCAATTTGAAAGACTGCTATTCCAAATAATGAAGCACCTATATGTACCACCAAAAATTTCAGGGATGTTATATGTTTAAGGTATATAAGTTCAGATATCAGAAAATTTTTCTGGACGTTGAAAAACTGCAAGTGCAACATTTAAACGAATCCATTTTTGTGACCGCAAATATCTCTTAATCTCTTACCATATCATGGCAAAGGGCAATCACAACATTTGAAACATGATAAAAGTTCACAACAACCTAGGTGAGCATTGAAAATTTATATGTCTGTGTAGGCAAGTAGCCATCGAAGGATCTAAGGGTTTCTTCTTTATTTTTTTTTGTTGGGTTGGGAGAGAGTGTGTGTGTTGGGGGGTTGGGGGGGGGGGGGTCAATACCTGCTGAAGAATCATCAAAGGCCAGATTAAGTGATAGACAATCCGAAAAATACTGTTTAGCGAATGACGTGAAATCCATGGCAGGTTCAACTTGTCCAAATCTCGGAAGGCGCAATGGTGAAGGAATTGAGATGGAAGATGGACCATTGAGCAATGAATTTGGTTCATATAAACATCCTGGATCCCGAATCAAATCAACCAAGTATTCCCTGTAAGGTGCATTCGCTTAGTGTCAATGCTTATGTACTTCTTTTTCTTAACATAAATAATACTTATGTGCTTAAATACAAAGCTATCCAAAAGCACAATAATCATTGGCAGACTTCAAACCAATATATTTGTGTGTGATTATAGAAGTATACCGAGACCTCTCTAGCAGAAGAATTCAACAGACAAAGCAGTCAGTATTTCTTCACGTTCATCAAAGTTATAGCATTCAGAAAAACAAAATCCTGCTGTTCACTGCATCAAATTTCTTGTTATTTTTATTTTTAATTTTTCCACTTGATTTCCAGTTCCCTATTTTTGGGGCTGAGCAGATGAAAAAAAGGATGTTTCTTTGAATTGAAATTGTAAATCTTAAATTAAATGATTAAGACAGCATCTGGTAAAAACAAAGTTAATTTCATGAAGTTGAGATTTCAACCCCAGTGTGCTTTAAATAAAGCACCATTCCCACTAAACATCTAAATAAAGCACCATTCTCACTAAACATCTCAATTGCAAAACCTGAAAACAGAGCATCCAAAAACATGGAGAAGCAGCTGTTAAGACAAAGCAGGAATTTAATCTAATTCATTGAAAACTGTGTTAAGGCCTCAAGTAGGTCTGAATCTGAGTTGTTCAGATATTAAAGCATTAAGTGCATTTGTTTTCATTAAGATTTTAGCACTTATTGATCTAAATAGGTCTTAATCGTTAAGATCTAGAAAATAGTCGTAACATCATTAAGAGGTATTCTTGTGTGGATAATATTCACCATCATTTTATTCACAATCACCAGCCACCGCCACTAACCACATCTTCCATCAAAACCATGACCACCATCACCATTACCTTCGTCTACCACCAGTCATCTCTGCCATCACAACTACCATTGTTACTAACCACTACTATAAGCTGCCACCACACTCATCATTATAATTAAATCAATTATCACCACCATACCCATCTCTGTAGACATCGCCACCTCCACCACCACTAGCAGCCAATTCATACTACCAACTAAATCCACCATCACGACTAGCATTGCAATCAAGTACCATCATACATTCTTCGGTCACCACCTCCACCACTACTATTAGCCACCACCACCATTGTGGTCAATCTTTACTACCAACAACCTCCATCATCACAACTAACACCTTTGTCAACTACCACACATATTTTCAACGATCACACATTCTACCATCACCACCACCAACTACTAACATCAACCAACTTCACCATTACAATCACCAACACCACTACCAATCACCACCATCATGATGGTCACTACAATACCAACCACCTCCACCGTCAGAACAATCACCACCATCATTGCAAGCCACTACCAACAACTATTACCATCACCACTGCCAAAAAATTTTCTCCACCATCACTAGCAAGTGTAAGTGTTTCATTTTCTGAATCAAGTAATAATCTTATTTTATTAGTTTTTTAATGTTTAATTAATTTTATTTGATTGTACTTTTATTATGTACATTCAAATGTTGAAAAAATCATACAGTATTCAAATCTTGAGGCAACATTTTAATCGCCTAGATATGCATTCAGATTCAAACGTCTAGATCTTTATGAAAACAAATCTTTAATTCTATGTTTTGCATGCTTCTACAAAGGGAACTGAACAAAATACAAAACTTCACCATGGTCATTTTACCAGATCCATATAATTTGTAGTTCCTATTCTTAACAAAACCAGCTTTACATATTCCAGAGAAAGCATAAATAACTAGTGATGATGTAAATGAAAGTCGACCCCTTCATACAGAAACTGGAAACATAGACCATATATTATCTGAATGCACACCTGTCAAGGCCAAACCGAACTAGACATGAGAAAGCATCGGATTCTTTACAATATTTACATCCTCTGGCAATTCGACATGGTAAATCAATGATGTCCGCCAGAACCTACAATCGTCACATTTGAAGTTAATGATAGACATCAAACTGTACAAGCAACCCAGTGAAAGGAATTTCTTGATGGCATTTCATTTTACTTCAAGGCAGAGTAAATCCAAAATAATTTAAATGATTAGTTCAAAAAATTGTGATTTTTTCCAATGGCAAACCATTAGTTGGTATGAATATGTCCAAATTAACTTTAGAGGTTAGACTGCTGACTCGCAAAACAGCAAACAGATAGTAATTTCAGTATAACACAGTAACAACATACTTTAAACAGCAACGTGCGATGTCTACAAAGTCCAACAGAAAGGCTACCAATGGGAAACACAAAACATCCTAGACAATCCTTCAGGTCATTACAGCACTCCTTCCAGATAGGAATGAAGTCACCTTCTCCGACAGAAGCTGCGCCTCTTATAAAGGGAATAAAAATTAATCTCTGAAAAAACCAAACAAGAAAATCAATCCCATTGGGGTTTCTCAGAAAAACATTTTTAAAACTTACCCCATGTGATTGCAAACCAACTTTGCAAGCTGATCAACCACTTCTTTTGTGGTGTTGCAACTACGATACATGCTATGGATTCGATTTTGTAGTTCCTTTAACCTGGGATCACTTTGCCGATCAATCAAAATTACTTCAACTGATGGTACTACAGAGGGATCAACAGCCATCAAGGATTCAATTGATGGGATACGACCACTTTCTTGCAGATCTGAGCAGACTGTCCAAATATATGGATCCATCCCTTGAATGAAATAAAATCCATCGGGGACTTTGTCAAAGTACGATAAGCTCCCATTTACCTGGTACAGCATGAAGATGCAATGAAGAAAATGTCTTTTAGGTATGAAAACCAGGAGGTCTGGGACTGTATGACCGGGCCAACCGAAATATAGACGAGATATTATAAGAAAATAACATTGGAAACAATGATAATATATGGCCATTGTCATATTGAAACTTCTATTCAGATACAGAAAATGACCTCAATTAATAACCAATATCTCATGCTACAATTTTCTGAAGTATCTAATCCTCTATCCTAAAATGAATTTACTTTCTATTATGGCTTTATCATAAAACCGAATGCACTTACTAGAGGATTATCCCTTTGTCTAATGCTGTAATACTACTCCAAAATTATAAAATAAGGTAACTTGGGATCTACTTTCTTCTTTAATTGATAACATGGGGTCTACTTTAGTACTAATAAAGGCCTAAACTTGAGAAAGATCAACTTTATCTCTACTTTGAGAACCACTTTGATTGTAAGAACATACAAGTATACAACAGTTTGAATGCTCATTTTATTGTCAGTTAAATGGATATCACTTTTGGGAAGAAGGAGAATTAAATTTCAACTACTTTCATGCAGTTCTAGTATCGATTTTGGATATTATATGGTTGTGTTAGTTGAATGCAATGTATCTTGGAGTCATTTTTACTAATCCAGCAATGACCTGAAGTTTAACAAAGTAGTCCAGCGACTACTTGAGTATTGGACAATAAGGGGACACTTCTAGGTAGTTGAACTTGCTACATAATATATTAATACAATGAATTGGAAACAGTGATTGGGCCTTTGCTTTTTTTTTATAAAGGTACCTTTATATTGAGACTGATTGTGCCTTAACTTCACTACATTTACTGTTTCCTGAGAAAAAACTTAAATACCCTTACTATACAATTATACAACCAAATAGGTAGGTGCATTAATATTAGTTACATAGGTAACCACTCATCACAGCTTTTCACAAAGGTCATGTATTTGGGAGCACCACATCCAACAAACGAGTTATGTCATAACGTAAATATGACAGTTACAGGTATGACAGGTAAAGCTGAGCAATAAAGAAGTCATGATTATCATACTTAAGCTGCATATGCATCAAGCAGTGACAGATTCACATTCAAGTTTATGGGTGCTTGAGGACCCATTACATTTTGAAGCCAACACCATTATTATATGGAAAACCTAGTAATTTATATAAATATGTAACTGAGCACCCAGTTTTAGTACGAGGTTCAAATTAGAGATAGTTGAGCACCCAAAGTAAGAAATTCTGGATCCACCACTGTCGTCAAGTGTACTTAGACAACAGTATAAGTTATACCACAGATACAGTAAATCTCACATGTCTTCTTTTCCTTCTCAACCAAGAATTGGATTGTTGCCTTAACCCGATTTTGAGAGGAAATATATTTCACATTGATCATGCAGCTATGTACAGAAAGGCTGAAAATTTCCAATACATTCACTTTGATCACACAACTACATAAAGAAAGGCTAAAGAATTCCAATACATTAGGCACAATATAATACAAACATCCTTTGCACAACTGAGTATAGCATTTTTAGACTAGTTTAGGACTCGGGCATCCTTGAGAGACCGAAAAACTCAACAAAATCTCGAATCATTCTTTTCATCCTCAACTTCTACATTACTTGATATTTGTCTTGACATTTTCGATAGAAATTAGGATGTCATGATAATACAGAAGATACTCAGTTTTCAATGGTATTGAAGAAAGATCCAGCAGTTAGAACGTCTGTCCCCTTCACCGACATGATCAATTGTCATCTAAGCATGGGAACATCTGCAATCTAAACTAGTTTTCCTTTTTCTATACTTAGACTCTGATGCTTCTATCTCCGGAACTTGGTGGATAATGGACCCCTTCCTTTCTCCAATAAATACTAGACTTGGTTGACGATTCAAAGTGATAATGTGTATGTAGGACATCTTAATTTGTACTACATTTACTTGTGACAAAGACATAGAAGCTTAATCTGAACTAATATCTACTATACCTCTATGTCTTATCAAATATGAATTGGTGAAATTGTTCTTACTACAAAACATAACCTCACATGCGAATTTCACACTGTTTTAGCACACAATCTCAAATTGAAACTTAACAAATGATATATTAACAGTATGCAAATGAGGAAAAACCAATAAAACAGAATATAACACATACCCAGAATCTATGAGACATTGCCTCCACGGATGCAGATGAAGCTGAAGCATGGGATACTGATTCATCTGGCACATAATCCAATAAATTGGGATCATCAGCGCAGGTTGCTTCAGTAGAGATCCTCAGAGCTAACGTTAACTGCAGCTGGTAGCTCTCCTCCGTCTGTTGAGCCCAACTTTTCGACAACGAACCTCCAACATCTGAATAAGCATTCATATACCCAAATGAAACTCCAGAAATGGAACTTTCAGCAAAGCTACCTTCACTTGACTGCGTCGGTAACACAATCGAGGCCTGAAACGGCGTCGTACCTTTTCGGCGATCAATCAAGTCCCAATATAATCCCTTATCACCTCTACTTTTGCTCTTCTCATCTGAATTAAACTCATCGTATGGTGGTTGCTGCTGTAATATTGCATAATTCGAACGTCTAACAGGTACTTCCATGGAGAATCCTAACAATATCAAAGTCAAAATAAACCCTACCAAACTCTGATTTTAACAAATTGCAGCTTGAACTACTTGGTTTATTCTCTTTCTAGAAGTCATCCAGTTGCCGGAGATGGAGGAAATGGATGGCTTTTTGTCGTCCGGCGATCGGAATATTCCGGTAAAATAATGGACCAGATACAAATACTATAGGGACAAATTCAGTTCCCCAACTTCCCCCTTTTCAGACTGAAGTTGCTTTTAGGCCGAATTCCGGTAAAAATTCTTGCTGAAAAAAAACGTGGGTACCTGTTGTATTTATTTTACTCCAAATCCAAACGTGCAGGATTACATTAAATACAGTAATTTATTATTATAATTAAATTATAATTTAATAATATTATAATATTAAAAAAACTAGCTATTTCAAATTTTTTTTATTGATTAAAAAAGCTATATATTGTGTGTAACTTTTAATTTAATCTATTTAAAATTATAAAATTTAAAAAATGTTCACACATTCTATCAAGTTTTTTTTTAATCTTATTTGGCCTAAATAATTTATATCGTCTCTTTATTCAGAATAAATAAAATTTTAAAGATGTTAAATTTGTTGGGGTGATTGGTACTTATGTGATGTTATTAAAATTAAAATTTAAATATTATTTTTGATTTTAATATTTGGAGGAAATTGATATTTTAAAATTTAATGACTTTTTAATGAGAAAATTTTTAAAGTTTATTGATATTAATAATAGAAACCGAATTTAAAATTTGTAAACAATAACAATTAAGATTGACTTGATTTTGTGTTATATTCACAATAATTGTCTTGTTGGAGTGAGTATTCACAATTTATATAATTTTTTATGATTTCAATGTTACAAGCAACAAACTTTTTTTTTATAAATGTGACACAAATATTATTTTAGATAATAGAATTTCATATTATATCGAATCGACATGATTTTAAATTATAAAGCATGATAAATTTATATAACTTCATATTATACCAACCTAATTATCTTGTTTAGCATACACTCACCATATGAAATTATCGTATATTTCAACTTTTTACACACATTTTTTTTAAATACTATTTTATTTAATTTTTGTAGGTTTTTTATATTTTGCTCATAATGTTTCTGTTTTATTTTTTAACTTCATCTCATGCATTGAGTTATACGAGATTTATCTTCTTATACAATATTGCTTGAAGTTTTATCTTTTAGAAAAAAAGACTATAACTATTAAATGTGTCTTCTCATACAATACTGCTTGAAGTTTTATCTTTATTAAAAAAGACTATATAACTATTAAATGTGTTAGAATTATTGATTTTAACAATATACTTTCTAGATTGGATTGATGCATGACTACTGTTTCAATGTCATTTTAAAAATATAGTAACTAAAGTTATATTTTAAATTAACAATATACCGGACAATTAATTTGCATCATTTTATAAATAGATTTTTTTAGGCTTTAAACATATTTTCTTATACTAAAATTTAAATATATTCACAATAAATCATTAGATAATATCGACATAATCAATGATCTCCTAATAATTTTGTACATTGTGATAGAACAATCAAAACATATGCAATATATCTAAAATTTTATACATTCAAATATTTGATTTTTGATCCAATTTTAAAATTGTCAAATTTCTAACAATTTTTTAAATTATACGTATACAAACACAATTTTATTTTACTATAATATTTTTTTTTTCAAATGAGCAGTATTAATATACCAATAATGCACACGAGGGTAGCATGGGAAACAATAAACATAGTATATAATAGCCCCTCTCTCTCTCAATTCTCCCGCTTGCAAACCTAAAAATTTGCTTCCATTGCTCGCTCTCTACTAAAACCCTAGTTTGTTTCTCCTATCTTCTGCGTAATCAGCAATGGAATTTTGGGGTAAATTATCTGTATTTCAATCTATTTGGTTTTTCTCTGTTTATCATTTGATTGTTTTGATAATCTGTATTGCTCGATGACTGTTTGTTAAATGTTTTGTTTCGTGGTGTTACATGCTGTATTTATTGCTTATTTATTTCGCTGTTTCAATTTTCATTGTTTATTATGATTTCGATGTTTATGTGATTCTGATCAAACACGTCTGCAGTATATTATGACTGAATGCCTGAATTTGTACACATGTATGCAAATTTCACAGCTCGTCAATTTGAGATCAAACTTAAGTTATGTTTCATTTTGTTTTTGTTATTTACTGTTTTGTGATAGCTGTAGTTATTGGAAACAACGTCTCTACCTTCTTAGTTGTTGGTTACTTCTTAGTTGTTGGTTAAGGTCTGCGTACACTCTAGTTATGTTATTGTTATGATAGATGTATTTATCGAAGCAGCCTCTCTTTGTGCACAAGGTAGTGATAATGCTGCTCACCATCCTTCCCGTACCCTACTTGTGTGATTACACTTGGTACATTGTTGTTGTTGTTGTACTGTTTTGTGACAGAATCCCAGACAATGTATTTTTCAGCATTGCCATGGTAGAGACTAGAGAGTGAGAGGGAAATAACTAGAAAATGTTTGTGTTGAAGTGCAATGCTGCCTATATACGATTACACTCTGCTTTGGATATGGTTCTTTAGTGTTGACAGTTAAAAAATGGCTCTGTAGTGTTTCCAACTGGCCATAGATTCTCTCATCACTCTTTGTGTTCATTTTCTGTTCCTCTGTATAGGAGAGTAGAGTAGGGTATTTGATTTAGCTCTTTCAGAATCAGGGATTTACTTGGAACCGCGGAAATGATTTTTCAAGTGTTTGATGTGATAAAGGCTCAATTTCTAATTTTAATATTTGGAGTTACCTTCATATGCTTTACTTTGATGACCACATGTCTTTTGGATATTATTATAGCTCAAGAACCCATGCGTCAGAAGTTCTGTTGGGTCTCATATACAATTTGAATGTACTTTTGTGCCTAAACTATTTTGTAATAATTGTCTTGTAAAAAATATCGTTTCTGTTATGTGTGCTCGGCTGTTGATTTTTCATCCATTGTGTATTAGTGTGTTTGATGCCCACTTTATATTGGAATAATATTTGGCAGTTGTTTTAAATTTTCTTACATTTAGGTGCGGAGGTGAAAAGTGGACAACCTTTATCTGTACAGCCGGGAGATGACATGGTTTTGCATCTTTCACAGGTGTGTTAAGTTGTCACTTGAATTTGATAGGCAAATATTTGCAATAGCCAAATACCTTGTTGGCATCTCTTTTTAGTATTTTTATCAATGTATTCTTTTTTTTAGGCATCTCTTGGTGAGGTGAAAAAGGATAAAGCATCAGAACCTGTATGCTTGTCTGTAACTATTGATGGCAAGAAGCTTGTTCTTGGCACACTCAGCTTAGATAAGCTGCCTCAACAACAATTTGACCTGGTTTTTGATAGAGACTTTGAACTATCACACAACTGGAAAAATGGTAGCGTCTACTTTTTTGGATACAAGGCTGCCAACCCATTCGAGGAATATCCTTTTCTGTTGTTTGTTATCTTCTATCTTTTGTTCACATGAACTTTCCTATCTTTCTAGTTTCTACTGCTCCCTTCCTTTCCATTTAAAAGAGGTGAACTTTTCAAGTTCTTTTTGTTTCCTTGACTACAATTGTGTGTGATACTGAGGAGGATGTAGATGAAGTTGAAGATGGTAAGCACAAAATTTTCTGTTTGAGCATATTTAAGCTGTGATGAATTAGGCGAAGATTTAATTGATATTTTATTGTGTGCAGAGTCTGATGAGGAAATACCCCTTTCAATTGCAAACAATGGTACATAAAATTTTATTATATACTTGTGTCTTTGATCTGCTATTTCTTAGTTCTAAAGTATTGCCTACCTGTTTAACAGGAAAGACTGAAGCCAAGGCTAGTGCAAAGGATTCTGCTTCAACTAAGCAGAAGGTGAGGGTTATAGAGTTTACTAAAGTTGACAAGGCGGAAGATCAAGATGAGAGCACTGATGAGTCTGCGGATGAAGATGATTCTATGATGGGGGAGGTATGCTTATCATCTAATTTATGCTCAATGCTTTATAGTATTGTTATAACATATGTTTATCAATAAAAGGTTTTTTAAATGTCTGGGTAAGCAACAAAAATCAATTTGAGTTTGTTACTTCATAAAAAAAAACCAGTTTGAGCTTGTTCAACAATTTCCAACCAAATTGTTTAAATATGTTTTTCAACCTGTGGTACTTGAGTGTTCATCAAGATATGAACTCTTAAAGATTTTTCGGAAGGATATGATTTGCATTTGGTATTCAGAACACAGTGTAGGTCTGGTTTTAAAAGAATTGATCTTGGAAAACAAATTTTTGATGAGAATTTTCTTTTGATAAGGGTGATGCAACACAATTGTTTGTTAAGGATATCACTGAACTCTTAAGTATTTTAGGGGCTTTTGTCCCGGTAAAAATTAATGGATGAAATTGATTTTTAATATCTTTGCTTACTACTAAACATACTTTTGAGTAGCCAATAACAGATACTATTTGGTTCTAGAAATATAGGCCGAAATGGAATTGTCAAATTGAGTTACCATCATATTTGGGCCATTGTTTTTGGAAGCGGTCAAACTGAATATCAGATTGTTTACGTCTTGAATGTTATGTTGCATGTTGAAAAGTCAGAACTCTGCATCTGAGTTGAGCTACTTCATCCTCTGGTCCATGTAACTAATCTAGCCTTTTCCTTTAGGGGTCTGAAACATTAACCACAATGCAATGCTTTTGAATAATACAGCTCCCAATGTTTATAGTATTGAGTATTCTCTTTGCAGGATGAAGAAGGTGATAGTGATGAAGATCAGTCTGATGAGAGTGAGGAGGAGACACCAAAGAAGGTAGCTAGTAGTTATTGTTCTTCTCCTTTCTCCTGAATTTCTTGAGCAGGAAGGTGGGCTAACACCACATGGTTCATTCTTCATTTTTAGGCTGAACCTAGTAGAAAGAGACCTGCAGATTCTGCTGCAAAAACACCTGTTCCTGATAAAAAGACAAAATTCTTAACTCCTCAAAAGACTGGTTAGTTTTTCTACTTGGTTAATGCTTAACTTAATGTTGATATTGGATATGATTGTGTAATGTTGAACTGTCTGCTGTTGTCCTTTAAATTTACATGAGAAAATTTGACCACAAACTTGAATAAGTATTAATTATTTGGAATGAGAATCTGACTATAATCTAAAAAGTACATAAGAAAGATGTTTAATGTTAACAAAAGTAAGTGACTCATTTTTTCCATATTTACTCAAAAGTTATTATGTGATCAAGTTTTCTTGTTACTGAGTGTCTTTTTTGGGGCTGTCTAGATGGTAAGAAAGGTGCTGTTCATGTGGCAACCCCTCACCCCTCAAAACAGGCTGGTAAGACTCCTGGAAACAAGCCAAACCAGACTCCAAAATCTGGCGGATCACTTGCCTGCAAGACATGCAACAGGTAACTTCAATATATCTTTTCATTATTTTAGGAGGCATTAAGTTGTATCCTGGATTCATGTATTTCTCCTTGCAGGACTTTTGGTTCTGAAAATGCTCTGGAATCTCACTCGAAAGCTAAGCACAGCGCTGGAAAGTAAATAGGAGTAGAAACATCTGCCTTGGGATCTGGTTTCGTTTTCTCAAACGTTGGAGGGAATGATAATCAGAAGAGAGTGTTAGCTTTTAGAATATTGTTGGTTGACCCTAATGTAAAGCAACAGTTAGGTCCAGTTTTGCTACTCATTGGTATTCTGTTCGAGATGAACTCTCTGGGTACTAGTGAAGGTTTACTTTGATTTCGACTGCTGTGTTGGTTGATATTCTACTCGAATGAATGGTTATTACCTATTTGGTATTTTGCTACAGGTTTAGCTTCTTTGTTGCTTGACGAGTTCCCTCATCTGCAGACCATGCATGTGATGATTGACTTTCTTATTTGATTCAGTTTTTTCTTTTTGATATTTATTGATCCATTCTTTCTATGGATGTGTTTAATGTGCATTCTCTAAGGAGGTGAGCTTTTAGGAGGCAGTCTGTCTTCCGCTCAAAAAGTTTATGGTGCATGATGTTATTTTATATTTGTGTATTTATATTAGATGTATAATTATAAATTTATTTTTAAAAAAACAATTGTTTAACAATATTTATATCATTAAAAAATACTTATGTAGCTGAACGAGAAGTTCCAAGTAAAGAGTTTTCAAATAAATATAAAGGTCCCGTTAATATTTAATAAATTCAAAAAAAAAAAGAAATTGGTGTCATAAAACAGAATAGTAATTAGAATGTGAAATTCGTCCAATCATTTTCTTTCATATTATTTGTTAATTTTCAAATAGAATAGGGTTACAAAAGACATTTTGTTAACTTCTTCAATATCGAAATAAAGTCATAACAAGAAATCTTGAATCTAAATTGTATAAAAGTTGAAGCATTTTTATTTTTGTATGGTATTTTTGTGAGACAAATAAGATAAAGTTTAAGCTTAAAATCATATCAGAAATTAAACAATCCGTGGATAATATGTGAAACAAATAGACCTGAGAAATATTTGTAATACACCAAATCAAAATAACGTGAACAAAGTACTTAAAAAGCCAATAAACCAACCCGATTAATAATAAAATATAAAAATAATATATGTCTAATCTTTTGAAGTTTTGTCTCATTTTTTGTCAGCTTAAATGTTATTAAGGAATTTTGATAATACAAAACATCAGCTGGTTTGCCCGAGAGGTTAAGGGGGAAGACTTAAGATCTTCTGCACATAAGTGCGCATGGGTTCGAACCCCATAGCCAGCATTTTTTATATGTTCTTTTAAATCAAAGTGTTTTTTTGTCTTCCCTCTCTATGAGCTTGTTTGGATTGACTTATTTTTTTTATCTTTTACGGTGATGGTAAGATCTGCGTATACTTTAACCTCTCCAGATCTCATTTGCGGAATTTCACTAGATATGTTATTGTTATACCTTTAGTAAATAAAAAAGTACAAAAATAAGTTAAAAGTTATCCAAACATAAAATTTCAAATTTGATATTGTACTTCTGTAATATTAATACCAAATTAATGATATTTGATAGGCATACTATAAACAAACACTTAAACTTGGTTTACAACACTCCAAATTTGTGTGTACATCTAGTCGCCTTTCGTAAATGTTAGAATGTTTTGTGCATTGAGCATATACTGGGGCTCTTAAGAAAAAAAACATGACATTATTTTTGTTTAGAACTCGAAAATAATCTGTAACCGCTACAATCTCTACCCTTCGAATGAGCTCTAATAAACCACTCACTATACAATAACTAGACAACCACTATGCAATAGGCTTGACTCAGAAGACATGGCGAAAAATCAATCCATATGAATAGCCATCTGAAGGATCATTTTGGGACACTTGCGGCCTGAGATATTGCTATAACCATTTTAGTTTAATACAAACGGACCCCTATAATTGTCAATAATCGTCTTTTCTGACCTCATTTATTTTCACCACTAGTGAAAGACTGTAATTTCTTCAAACGATAATAAAATATATACTCATTCTTTCGATTTTATGAAAAATGAATCATGACAGAGAGTGATTCCAATACATGGACAATTTTGTCCATAATATATCTATCACATTTTGTATGGTGATATAGAAAATAACATTTCTTTTTTATGCAAAAAAGTGCAAGCCTATCTGTTATTTCTATTTATGAAGAGTTTTGTTCATACATCAGAGGATGAAATTCCACAATGTGCTACAATATAGCAAGGAAAAATCTTTGATGACATGCAAAACCAAAAAAGTCAAAATCTTGAAGTACTACTACTAACGGCAGTCCCGGTTACAAAACCAGCAGTCAGAACTTAAAAATAAGATCCGCTCTGCCTACGAGAATTATTTCTCAGTTCAGAATTGTCAAAGCTCAAAACATCAGAACAATAACTGTTAAAAGTTTCAACGCGAAAATCGATCGCAAGTCCTAGAATGACCATTTCCACACTGGGAATTTGGTCAGTCCAAGAGAGTGCAAGTTAGTACGGTTCAACAGGGGCGCGGAAGCTTGCTCCGGCATATACAGCATCTGAACCAAGTTCCTCTTCAATTCTCAAGAGCTGATGGAATGAACGAGAAATCAGAACTGGCTACAGAGAGAAGCGCCAGAGAATAGTAATACCATCAAAGTAAACTGTACTATTGGGGTAAGTACCTGGTTGTACTTTGCAAGACGTTCTGATCTGCAGGGAGCTCCGGTCTTGATTTGTCCCTAAAAGAATCCACGAGATACATAATTGATACCAAAGACTATTCCGAGTTGACACTATAAATTAGATAAGACAAAAGTGCATTTACAAAATTACCGTTGACAAACCAACAGCAAGATCAGCAATGAAGGTATCCTCCGTCTCTCCACTGCACCAAATACCCAAAGATCGTTAACAAGTGTCATAAACAACAAAGCATAACTGAATTTCCTCTTTCTGCAAGCCTATTGCAGAGCATCACAATCTCCTTACCTGCGGTGGCTAGTCATTACACCCCAACCAGCTTGCTTAGACATTTTCACAGCTTCGATACTCTCAGTCACGCTGCCAATTTGGTTAACCTGCACACAAAATTAGAAGCAAATATTGCAACAGAGTGATCTCCAAATTAAGAGGACATAGCAATGACTTAGATAATATGATAAGTACCTTAAGAAGAAGGGCATTGCAAGTCTTTTCACTGATTGCCTTGGCCACTCTCTGCACCAGTGCACAGATACAACTAATAATTATATAATTTCCAAGAGATTGAGAAAGTAACTCGTATACACAAGAACCAGGTGCTCTACCCATTTCCTTTAATGATGGAACATCTAAGCATGCAATTCTAAGCAAGAAAATGACAACTAGTTGTATAACGCTTCAGTTTTACCTTAGGATTGGTGACGAGAAGGTCATCTCCTACAATTTGTACTTTCTGCCCAATTTCAGCAGTGAGCTTAGCATAGGTCTCCCAGTCATCTTGGTCAAATGGATCTTCTATCGAAACAATAGGGTACTCAGACACAAATGACTTGTACAAATCTTTGAGCTGGTCACCTGAGATCTTTTGGGAACCATTGTTGTTCTGCAAAGATGAAACAATTGAAGCAAATCGGATTAGATAATAAATCAGACATGAAACTACCTCAATAAAGAGTCCTATAATTTCCAGCTCACTTGAATATCTATTTCCCAAGTAGGTAGGATAGTGGTTATTAGTCAGTACTGATTAATATCGATCACCAAAAGAGATGGCCAAAAGGCCTAATTTATCAGTTTACCAATTTTATTATGTGGGCTTCAGAACCATCAAGATAAAAGAGAAAATCCACTTCAATATTCTTTACGGAGATACTACTTGAATGCACTACTAGGCATAGTCAGAAAGGATATACCTCTTCTTTGAAGTTCAAATCATAAGTTTTGTCCTTTCCATAGAATTCAGATGCTGCAACATCCATTCCGATGACAACCTAAAAGGAAAATAGTCTTAGCTTCTACATTATTAAAAGCAGTTGGAAAAAGGTCTGATTTAAATGCAGTCAAGAGCTTACTTTTCCAGTATAACCTGCTTTTTCGATGGCAGTCTTGAGCAATTCAAGACCCTCCTTGTTCTCCTGAATTTTCAAAAGCCATAGTCACATGATGTAAAAGAGTATCCATTCAACAGTATGCCATTCAACAGCATAAATTTATACTTTACCTGGATATTAGGAGCGAAACCACCCTCATCACCAACATTTGTTGCATCCTGGCCATATTTCTTCTTAATCACAGCCTAGAATTAGAGTAAACTGCCATCAGCGAGAGAAGTAAAAGAAAAAGGGGATGTCACATCAATAAATTTAATACCCCCTTGGTCCCATTTTATGTAGCGTAGTTTGGATGTGCACGGAGTTCAAGAAATAAAGGCTTCTGACACATAAGCAAGAATATGCAAAATACCAAAATTGTCGTCAGCACCAACAATTAAGTGAGAGGTCACGAAAGTTGTACATATTTTTTACTATTCTCTCAACTGAGAAAAGGTAGAATGTTTCCATCAAATGGAATCCAAAAGTTATTTCAGTAAGGGTGAAATGAAGATGGATAGATTACACAGTTTCTTGAAATAGAAAGGTAACAGTCTTTCTGTGAGAAACTGAAAGGAAAGACCATCACATAAAATATGGCATAGGGAGCACAGTATTTTCTAGCCTAATGGACCTCAAAGAAAGAAAAAGGAAAAGAAAAGAACAACTTATCCTCTATGCTTTGACTTTGAAACAAATAAATACTAAGGGAATAGAAGCTAGAACAACTGTGTGAAACCTTCAAATGGTGATACACTTCACAGCCCATCTTCATGGCCTCCTTAAAACTAGAAGCTCCAACAGGAAGAATCATAAATTCCTGCAAATAACAACTAATTAGTAATTTTCTAAGCATCATTTAACTACATCTTTTAACAGGAGAAAATACATGCCTGCATTGCAAGTTTGTTTCCAGCATGGGACCCACCATTGATGACGTTGAAAGCAGGAACAGGCAAAACCAACTTTTTGTTACCTGCCAAATTGGCAATATGCTGCAAAGAAAAGGCAGCTCAAATTGTAACGCCCAATCAGATAGATAACTTTTTCAATCCAGATATAAGTAAATAAGAGAATGTAGACTTGGATGTTTTCTATTTAAACATTAGAAAGTTATCCTCATATTTGAACAATAAATTCAAAATATAAAAATGTTCCCACATTGAAGATTGAAGAAAAATGGATATAGGAATTGGGTCAATCTCTTTCATTTGGACTCGGCTTAATTGGCAACAGAAGATTTAAAGAGTAGATTACTGGAAAGAGTGAACATTGAACTCCATAAATTTTTTCTATGTGATGTATGTACCTTATAAAGTGGAATCTTCTTGACAGCAGCACCAGCTTTACAGACTGCAAGTGACACAGCAAGGATGGCATTTGCACCAAGCTGTCAAAAAAGGCCAACCCAGGTAAATTGGTAATTTGTACACTTCTGATAGTTACATGTGACCTAATGTTAAGCTTCTGCTTGTATACCTTTTGCTTGCACCAACCCCACTCATTTTGAGTTCCATCTAGTTGATGAACCATGTAGTTATCGAGACCAGTCTGATCGGTCGGGTCCTGCAAAGCAAGAAACCACACCTCACATATCATGCATAAAAACAACTATCATTGCCCATTACAATAACAGGAAGCATTATGGTATTCCTTCACACAAGGCAAACAACCATCAGAACATTTTTTGCAAGAAGTATCTTTTTCAAAGGTAAAAGAAATTACAAGAGGAGGCATACCTTGCCAATAAGAGCAGGGCCAATGATTGAGTTGACATTGTTTACAGCCTACATGGGTGCAAAAAGGTAAACAAGCAGTTAGCAGTGAACGGCGTAATCAACCAATTAGTACGTGTTTTGAGATGCAATACCAACCTTTGAAACACCTTTCCCAAGGTACTCAGACCCTCCATCTCTCAATTCAAGGGCTTCATATATTCCTATCAAATGAATGAAGACATTTAATTCAGGATAGTCAGAGAAGGAACTACCAATCAACAATGTCAAGAAATAAAACACACATATAGCATTTCATCCAAACTGAACGACATTATTCTTGGATCAGTGGCACTTAACAACATCTAATAATATATCTCTTCACCATCTAAAAGGTGCTACAACCGGTAATAGGATCAAGCTGATCAAAACCAGTGCATTGTAATGCAATATCCTTCTAGATACAAGTGGTTCAAATTTCAAGAGATCCCTTGGAAAACATCGATATTAAAGATTCCACAAAGAGACCAAAGGTTGGCCACTGTTCTTACTTAAACAGCCAAACAGAAACTCATAACAGGCAAAGGATGAAATCAACAAAGCAAACAACAACATACCTAGTATAATCTCAAAAGTGGGATTCTAGGTAGGATAGACATAGAGTGTAGTGCAGTAAATCAAAATAGTTATGAAAAAGGAAATAAAACATGTCAATTAATAAGGGAAGCAGTACAGAGCCTACACACAAAAGAACAACAACAACAACAACAACGAAATAACACTGTAAACTGAAATGCAATAGACAACAGATTGTAACAAATATCAAAAACAAGAAACTACAAGTATACAAACTAATACTACGACAGACACTGTGCTACCATACTCACACCAAGCCTAATCCAACCAAAAAATGAGACAAACATCAAACAAATCATCACTTTTAAGCACATAATTTAATCATTGGCTTTGCATGTCTGTACAAACTCTACCAAACCAATACATTCAGTTTTAAGGCAAAATAAATAAATAAAAATCAACCAATATTACGAATATAAACAGTTTTTCACCTGTAGATGCGCCGCTAGGAACTGCAGCTCTCTCCCAGAGGCCATTTGACAGATAAACATCAACCTAAAACATGTACACAGCAAACAAAAAGTAAACTATCAAAAAAACCATCAGAATCGGATCGAAAAACGAACAATGTGATACAAAGAACATCGCAAAATGCTGAAATCGAAGGAGATCTGAAGAAGAACAAACCTCAACCGTTGGATTACCACGGCTATCGAAGATCTGACGAGCCTTGATGGATTTGATAGTTGCCATGAGTAATGTATGAGTTTGAGATATGCGTTCGAAGGTGTTGGTTGTTTGTGAGAGTAGTGAGAAGATACGCCACGAATTTGTAGAGAAAGGTTGTACAATTACCACCGTTGGATGGGTTCCGATGGATCTCTTAGATCGTGTATTAATTGGTTCGGTTTTATGTTTGTTATCTTATTAAATTATTATAAAATAATTAAAAATTTAATTTATTGATTAATTATCTGTTTAGTTATTAATTTAAATGTTATGATTTGATAGAAAAAATTGAAAATTAATTAGAAATAAAGATGAATGATGTAAATGAGTTTTTATATTCTTATTCAAAAACAAATATGATCATATTATGGAATAATTGAAAGTTTGAGATAATCAGAAATAAAAATATAAATTTGATAAAGTCAATAATTTGTAGCTACATATTATTTGGAGGAGAGAGGCGAGCGAGACTGGGAGAGATAGGTGAGAGGCGAGAGAGAGGGGGGAAAGAGTGGGGGAAAAGTGAATTGTAAATGTATATTGGTTAGATAATTGTATATTGTACATATGTAATTGTACATATAGAAAGAGAGATAGGGAGAGGTAGGAGAGAGTCGAGCGAGACTGTGAGAGAGAGGACAGAGGCAAGCGAGAGAGGGCAGAGAGTGGGAGAGAGGTGAATTCTATATGTATATAATTGTATATAACTGTATATTATACATATACATTTGTATAAATGACAAGCGAGATTGGGAGAGGAAGGAGAGAGGCGAGCGAGATTGAGAGAGGGAGGAGAGAGACGAGTGAGATTGAGAGAGGGAGGAGAGAGGCGAGCGAGAGAGGGCAAAAAGTGGGAGAGAGGTGAATTGTATATGTATATAGGCTAAAAAATTGTATATTATACATATTTATTTGTATATCCTGGCAAATTATACAAATACAAATGTGACTATTTATACAAATTCGAAGTCAGCCCATGTAATTAATGTATGATGTTAATCGCGAGTGGTAATTATAGCAAACTATAGCTATGATGAGTATTTAAATAATATAAGTTTGCTTATCCGCGTAATTTTCCCTTTTTTTAATATCAAATGGTATAAATGTTATTTTATTTACTATTCTAGTATAGGTTAATCCGTTAAATAAAAACCTCTGACTATTAAGAACCAATAATTTGATAATTAAAAAAATAAAGCAGTTACCAAAATCGTGAAACCAATAACAAATTATATCAATAAATAAATTATTATTATTTTCAATTTGGATTGTTGATTTTGGTTCGATTTTTTGAACAATATAATTCTACTTTCATATATATAAGGTATTAAAAATGAATTGGTGAAATCAATATTAGTTGTGGTGCAATAAGTAGTGAGACTCTTTCATCCTAAATTAAATATATTGAATGTTGGGGCATCACTTCTAGAATGAATTTTGTTGTGTCCAATTTGAATTTAGTTAAAGATTCAATTTGAAAATCAAACACAAAATATTAAATAATTTTTTTTTGTCAATATTAAAGGATGAAAAAGTTAAAGTAAATCTATAGCTAAAATTGATTGGAGTTTGTTTATATCAAATTTTGAATGAAAGATTATAATTTCAAATAAAAAATTAATTGAAATTTGTTATTAAATATTTGTATAACTTTAGTCTTTAATCAATAATCAAACGATTACATATTCCATTTATTTGATTTAAGGCCATAAAATACCCGATTAGTATTGTACTTATATTTTACTCCTTATAAATGTTTCTCATAATTAACTAACAATTAATAAAAAAATAACTTTTCTAATGTTTTTTTTTTTAAAAAAAGAAATCTTATAAGGTTATCATTTTTAGTCTCTGACACACCTTATTTTTACTATAACTTTCGTAATATCCATCCTTTCCTTCACTTCTATCTACGCCTTCATATTTTATGGTATTTATCTAAATTATATATAAATATTTTAGAATAATCTATTTTGTTTGATTATCAAACACAAAATAATACAAACTAAAAAAACTCATTTATTTCCAAAATATATTTTTCGATGAAAATATGCAATTTCTTTTCTTGTCCCATCTCCTCCTCCCGTGTACTAAAAATCAAGAGTTCTATGGTTGCCTTGTGTTATAATGATTTTAATTTATAATTATGTAATATATAAATTATTATGTTTATTAAATACGTAAATACATTAAAGTATATTTATAAGTTTGTTTGATTAACCTATCAACTTAGCTAAACTTCTTAACATGCCTGACTAAGTTTTAAGAAAGTTGAAAAATGCATATATTTTTTTCCGATATTCAATATCTATATTCGATTTGTACAGGGTAGGGACCTATTATGAGGTTCCAAGCCTTTTAATCTTCTTCTTTCTTTTGTTTTCTCTCTTTCCAATTTTCTTTACTTCTTCATGTTACCTTAACTTTGATTATTTTAAAATTTACATTTATATAAATTATATGGAATTTATTAAGCCAAAGGTTGAGATGGCCGAGTTGGTCTAAGGCGCCAGATTAAGGTTCTGGTCCGAAAGGGCGTGGGTTCAAATCCCACTCTCAACATTTAATTTTTATTTTTGATATATGAAATCACTCATTTGTATTATATATTTTTAATTATACTTTTAGTAAATTCTTTACTTGTATATAATCTACGCTTCATTTGAAATTACTCTTTTTCTTACCCAAACTATAAACATCTAGAAATCAATAGTTATTTGCATCTTATAATTTGAGAATAACCTTTCAGAAGTAGTAACGAAGTTATAACTTGATACTTTATTGTAAAATAATAAAGATGATGAAACCTCAAATACAAACCATGTGTATAAAAATAATTATGTTAGGGAGTATTTTTCTTTAACGAGCTTTACGCAATGTAAATCTTGATTAATCGAATCTAGTTGAGAATGACCTTTGAGAAGTTTAACAAAATTATAACTTCATACTTTTGGTATGTAAGAATAAAAAGATAATGAGGCCCCACATATAAGCCATGTGTAAAAAAAAGTTATGTACAAAGTTTTTTTTTTTAAAATAGCCTTAAGCAATGGAAATCTAGATTAATCGAGTCCAGTCACATTGAGGTTTAACATTTCTTCTAAATTATCATTCACGCAATAATATCCTTTAGACGAATGCTAATTAATGGGTAGCGGTTAAGAAGTATTAACAAAATTATAACTTCATACTTGTCGTATAAGAATAAAGATGACGAGGCCTCAAATTCAAATCTCAACCCATATGTATAGTAAAAAATTATGTTAGAGAGCACTTTTCTTTTAATTAGCCTTACGAAATGTTAATCTGAATTAGTGGAGATCGCGTGAGGTTCATCTTTTCTTCTAAATTATATCATTCACTAGTATTCTTGTGATGAATGCCGATTCACAGGTAGCTAAAGAGAGAATAAAAATGACAATTCTATAATTACTTGTTAATTCTCCAAAATTTCTTTTCCATTTATAATGACAATTTTTTTCATATAACAAATCCAATCAATTACATCACACTGATATGGGGAAATACTTTTATTGGACTTCTTACAGAATGCCTATCAGAAGACCAAATTATGTATCCTTGGGAATGACCTGTAACATCTAATGACTTAACTGTTACATTATATGACGCTTTCTGATTCAACGCTGTAAATTTCAAGATTTTAGGTTGAACAGTCACCTCGACGCCTTTGAGCCCAAATACTTTAACTGTGTAAGATGAACTTGCTTCTCCAACATTAGTCACAGTCCTTGTATAAGTTTGAGGACTTGATTTCGTAGGAATAGAAAATGACGGATAGTTCAACTCTGATTGAGGTATGCTTGTTGTACAATGTACCTTCTTACTCACAATGAGACTGATTTGATCATCTGTATAGTTCAAGCCACATAAGTATGGGAAGTAATCTTCAGGCTGGATGTCATAAACGAGTCCTGGATCATTTGCTCTTGATGGATTCACGTGCCCTGATCCTATTGTAAGTAGATCAGCAGGTTCAAGTGTCTCGTCTTGAATTGGATCATTTCGAAGGTTGATGATATCAGCTGTGGTCATGATTGCGGATTTGATTGCAGCCGGGGACCAATCTGGATGTGCGCTCTTTAACAATGCTGCAACTCCTGCAAGGAGAGGGCAAGAAATGGACGTTCCAGAAAGGATGTGAAATATCTGGCCTTCTTTAGGGATTGACCACGCTGCAAGGATATTCAATCCAGGGCCAATAATGTCCGGCTTTAGTATGCCCTGACTCGGCATAAATGGTCCCCTAGAAGAATAGTAAGTAACTGTTGGCGCATGCTTGTCACCAAATGTTGTTCCCCTGAATGATATCGTTCCAACGGGTGTTGATGTTGATTTCACATAGTTTATGATCTCTTGTCCATCGTTGTAACCAACCTGTGCCGTGGGAACAACATAATAATCTGAGAATGTTGTAGAGCCACGATTCTTTTTGTTTATGAGAATCATGCCAGCACCACCGGCATTTTTCACTCTTGCTCCTTTGGAATATCTAGACGGGTGAACGCTTATATAACACAACACTATTTTACCCTTGACGTTGCTTCTATTCAACGATTCACAATCCTCACCGTTCACAAGTGGTAACAATTTTCGAGAAAAATTTGTTGGTTGGAAGGCTGATTCACCTTCATACTCAGATCCATTACCCAAAACTGCAACCGCACTTATCTTTCTATCTGTTGTGCTAGCACCAACTGTGAGAATCCACGGGGCCCCGTTCATCACAGTACCACTATCTGGTCCTTTATTTCCTGCAGAGCAACTTACAAAAATCCCTTTCTCCATTGCGCTATACGTGCTAATAGCTATAGCGTCATCATAAAAAGGCGGATGTCCTAACCCGAATGGAACGACAATGATATCCACACCGTCTTCAATTGCAACATCAATACCAACTAAAATCATCCATACTCTACACAAAATTCCCCCACAGACTTTGTACATGGCCACATGGGCTCGGGGCGCAATGCCAACAGCGGTGCCATTAGCATTACCATAAAAATTGGCACCATCCACAAAGTTCCCCGCAGCTGTGCTTGAAGTATGTGTCCC